GATGCAGTGCTGCGTCATTTCGGCTTGCTAGTAGCTGCCAGGATACATGGCCCGCCGTGCTTCCGCGGTCTCGCCGCTTCCACTCCCACACTACAATGAGGTGCCTGGGTCGGGATTTTGTGGGAGTGTAATTTTATAGAAAATAATAATTGTATTCCTATTTTCTTGATCAAAATACTGAAGGAGATTCAGATATGTTTTACGTGCAAAAGTTTCAAGATTGGTGATTGAAACATTCATTTAATAGATCCTCATTATTTTCTTACAAAATATGATGTTCGCCATTGCATTTGTTGCAATTTCATTATCCCCCTTCACTGCAGTTGTGTTTCACTTGCTGTCAGAACGTCTGACCATCCTGTCCGTCGCAGGTGAATGCCATCCAAAAGGAATGGCTGACGAACAAAACGTTGGATATGCATGTTACTACGCCGAGCAAACGAAGCAAGTATGCCAATGCGTGTTCGACGTTTAACAGAGGCCTAGACAAATAATATAAACAGATTCCCTGATCGAGCTTATATCATTCAGTACCAGCTGCTGTTTATTTGCCATTGCTTCTCATACTACTGCCTCTACGTACATTCTGAGCATGAATTAAGTTGGTACTTTCATTTGTTCACCTGCAAGATTTTATTTGAATTTCGTATAATTAGTAGATTAGAGACCAAACAAAACAGCTACGCCGTAATTTAGTTACTTAGAATATTGCACAGATAACTGCAACTGGCAAGAATACAACAAAGGGCGTAGCGCTTTTGTTCTGCAATATGTTCATGAAAATATTCCCATGCCTGTACTTAGAAAGGACGCGTTTTAAGCGATATCAGTCTATGAAAAACTACATTCTACTCCTCTGCCTGTTCGTTTTATACAGTCCCTAACTTGAAAACCACCGTTCATGAATTTCGTCCGGATATCAGGATATCCGAAATTCATCAAAATTATTTCACATAAACACTGCCTTACTACCGACGAAGTGGAACGCAAAATCCTTCGCTTCAATAAACTCTTGGTCACTGTTGTGATAGGGTACAGGTAACTGGATCAATCAGCCTCAGTGTTTATTTCTAAACTGATATCTGTGAAAATTTATTGCTGCTGTACATCACGCTGAAAATGCGAGCATTTTCGCTCCTGACGTCACTTCGCTGCTCTTAACTACTTGAATTTTAGATTTGTTCGGATAGATGTTCTACGTACCCAGAGAGTGCAACAGA